TGGTCGGGTAGTATTGGGGTATTTGATACTGAAATACGCACGAGTACTTGGTAACCTTTATTCATCTACTCTAGCAAATTGTGAAAGTCAACATGTGCCCTCTGTTTTGCCAAAAAGTAGATTGTCATTTGAAGATTACTCTCTCCATCACAATAAAGAGCTCACTTGATTATAGGGATTCATACCCAGTACTTTCACAATTCAGTTTTGACATTGATTTCATTAATTTTTATTCGCCATAGTAGATAAACCGACTATCAAATACATCATTTCCTTTCCATCCACTGCATAAAGGCAAGATGGTTAAAGTGGAGAGTSGCTAAGGGAGTGTTGTATGATAAGAGAATACAGTTAAAACTGAAAGGGAAATTCTACAGGGTAGCCATAAGACCAGCTATGTTGTATGGTTTTTGAGGACATGACATCTCATAGGAGTTCTTGGAGGCATAGAGTAGAGTGGTCAATTTTCAGTAGGATATAGTAGAAGGTGTCGTCAAGGGAATTGAGCGGAGGGTAGAGAGTTGRCAAATAGCTTCTTATGTGGGGTATGTAGGGGTASTTGGGCGTGATAGGACCTGACGTGACTTTTTTACTAGTTATCATACTTGTKTAAGTTGCTATATACATTACTTCTACTTGTATTACATGTTTTACCYGACTWCATTGATTACAATTACATTGTCTGCTTGCACACYRTTGAATTGTGCATACACAATTAAATCGTTATTCTACGTGTCATTTTACCAAATTACCYGTGCACACACCTTTTTGTCGTGCACAAGTCGGGGATCGTCATGGAAACAGCCTCTCATACTAGTGGTTGAGGTTTCTCTACCTACCCCTACTAGACCTTACTTTCGAATAGGAAATATTAGGTTTGGTTGGTCCCACCAAAATAGGTGGGGAAAAAAAGAAAGGCATGRACTAAATAGCTAAATTACTAAATTACCCTCGTCTAAAGTATATATATTATATGTATTTATATTTATATATAGGGTCGGATTCAGAGGAAAACCGCAAAAAAAATGAAAAAAAGAGAAACACGACAAACCGTTCATGTGGACGGTATGCACACGTGCATAAAAACCAAGAAACAATTTCAATTACTGTATGCACATGTGGATACCGTCCAGATGAATGATTACCAGGGTGTTCCTTAGTTTTTCAATTTTTGTGTGTTTTCTCCTGAACCTCCCTCTATATATATGCACTAATTGATTACCCATGTGATACAA